GCGGACGAGAGCTGGAAGGTGCTGGAGCAAAGAGCCCGGGCCAAGCGCTCAGGTTTGGCCGGCCGGGGCGCCGCCCTCGCACCCTGCGCCGTGGCGGGGGTGCTCCCCCTCGAGCACCTTGGGGGGAGGCTCGAGGGCTCCTGGGACGACTGTGTCCCCGTGCGTCCCCGTTAGAACCCGGGCAGCGGCCCAGGCCTTCCGCCTGATGGCCCCCTGCACGTCTAGAAGTTAGGCGGTGCCCCGACTTTACTCCGTGTGTGTACCCCAACGCTATCTCGTGTGTGTGCACTCTCACAAGTGGTACCAACTTCACCCAGATCTTGCTCCTTCGAAATCAGGCTGCAGCCACATTTCAGGGAGAAAGAGGGTGACAGCCCCTTGCCCCGTGTGTTTCCTTTTCCAGTCAGATAGCTTCCTTCTTACTGTAACACCGTCTGGCCCTGGAACACTGACTGCCACCCGTTGTCATGTTCGTCTGTCTCTTTTACTGCCCTGACACCTTGTGAGACCTGACCAGCTTATATGTGTGTAAGGGACCCCAGGGGAGCAGGCCACCAAGGGGTCACACTGAGCATAGATAGGGCTCAGGACACAAGATCTGCCCAAGTTCCAGAGTGCACAGTTCCCTTGTGCTCCCCAACCCCAGGCCCAGACTTAAGGAGACCTGTGCAGACACCAGTGACAGTTCAAGTGTCCGAAAGGACTCAGATTGCAAAGTCATGACTCTGAAGTCAGTGCTGTGGCCAGTCATCCCTCTGAAAACCAGGACTGAAAACTCCTGTCACTCTGGCCAGCTGCATGTACTGAACAGAAAGTGAACGTATAAACAGGAGAGGTGTAAGAATTTCCCTGTAAAAGATTTTACTGGGAGATGCTAATGTCAGTCTTACTAATCTAGCCTAGGAAAATTAACTTTATGTGAAATGAAAAGATTTTTTTCTTAGTTAATATGCTCCCATTATGTTTTGGAATTCCATTTATGATGGACCTGTTGTGTACTCTGCCTTTTTTGTTTTTACTGTGAAGAAACTACTGAGTTTTATAAATCATACAGGAAAAATTCACCCAATTCTTTGTTGCTAATTTCTTTATTTTTAAACCTAAAAAGAAAACTTTTGCATCTACTTTTATGGGACTATTGCAAAACTACCACACATATGTGAGGCATTTTCAAAAAGTAGTCCTTAGTATAGTTTAGAGTCAGTACATTTATGTGAAGTAGGCACAGATAGGTTGTTCCACACTGTCTCTTAAAATGACCTAATTGAAATATTTGCGTTGCCCACTAATATGTGGCCAGGCTATAAATAGTGTTGTTGACTTGATAATATCTGCTCAAAGAGAGTAACTTGAGTTTTCTTACAGGGGACTGCCTTCCACTTTTGCACAGCATCTCCTTTAATAAGCATTTATTATTTTTTCCTTTTATAAGCATATAGGATTTATTTTCTTCTCCAGTCCTTATTTTCTCTGAGATGCATGATATAACAGTAAGCTTTGAAAACTTTACTTTCTCAAAATAGAATTTGAAAAAATGTGAGTGTTTTCAAATTCTATTTAACTTGTTGAATGCAGTCACTGAAATCCAGTTTCAATATTCAAAGTAAAGTGCACCCTATCCATGCTGGATATTCCCATTTGTGTTTACATCATAGTAGTAAAAGTGATTCCCGTTGAAGTCATTTCACCAAATTAGTAGTTATGGTCGAGGTTTTAGAACCTGATAACCTTGAAGTGTGGACTTTAAAGCTTAATTGAATCACTGGCTTTCTATATGATTAGACTCAATTAACCTGATTCTGTTATTTTAGAAGAATATAGAAACTGAGCTTTGTTTGAAACTTGGACTAACCTCACTGATAGAGATGGCACTGCAGAATTTCAAGTGTTGTTACATAGTGGCATACTCATTTCACTGCTCCACAGCCCATGCTGCTCTATGTAATGTTTGAGAATTGGATGTTGTATCTTTCCTGCCACATCCTTGTAAGCAAGTGTAATTTATCAAAACCAAGAAAATCAAATTTTCAAGTCATAAAAGAAAAAAGAAAATTATAATGAGCCACAGTTATTGCCTTTGTTGCACACTGCATCATGTTAATAACTACTCACACTGCTTTCAATTAATCTAATGCTGATTGCTTCTAACCCTCACTAAACAGTTTTGAAAATTGCTGTAGTTTAGCTGCGACGCTTATGATTAGAGTCAACAATTTGAAATGGCCAACTCACCTGATGCGGTCGTCTCCTCTCAACCAGCTTTCTTAAGGTCTGGTAAGTGTGTAGACCCCAAAAGGGTCACTTGGTAATTTTAACTACCATTGCTTCTGAAGACTGAAGTTACCATATATTTTGGTTTCATCTCCTGTTTGGTGACCCAAACCTGAGCACCGTTTCTGTTACAGTAGGCCCAAGTTTGGACTGGGTGTTGAATGTAGCCAGTTGTCTTGCATTAGACATGAGAAGGACAGACTAGAGCTGCTGTATTGACATCTGAAAGCTATTTGACTAGGGACAGTTGCTTAGTGTCTGAGAACCCTGTCAAATGGGACATAATACACTGTCTTAAATGATTTTGGTCTTCTTACACAATGGAAATAACTTCTATAAATAAGACACTTGAGGTTATTCTCTTCATGAAGTAGGTACTTATAATGTACATTTCATAGAAAGGAAAGGCACGCTCCTTAGAGGTGGCGCAGCTCTTACAGGTGTCAGGGCCTGGGGCTTGGCTCTCCATGCCATGGCTTCTTGATGTAAGAGCTGGAGGAATGATTGATGCCATGGCTCTTAAGCTTTTATGTTGGTGACACCTCCATTAGCTGAATGAAAACTTGTGGCACTTTTCCCCAGTGAGTGCTCAGCATTTTGGAAACAATTTCAAGTTGGTTCATGGGTATAGGGAAAACCATGGATAGATTCCCATTGGGAATTCTGGGTTTTTAGGAGAAAGGGGCTTTATTAAATGGCCACAGAGCTGATATGAAGTCTTCAGGGCTTTTTTCCTGTGATTTGTGACATTCCTTGGGCCATCAAAAGCCTGTTCTGTGTGAGGACACTGACAGAGACCTGCTGCTTTGTCTATAATATGCCATAAGTAGAATGTTTAAGCTTTCTGATTTCATTAACAAGGAAATGTGAGATCACCTCCTCTCAAACTGTGACAGTGGCCACACTTCCCTTTTCCAGTTACGAAAACCATTCAGAAGTTGTACCTTCTGTTATGTCCATCATACTTCAAGTCATACTTTGGTCAGATGGAGGAGAAAAATGTAAGGGAAAGAAATTGGCAGTAGCTTAGGGAAGAAAGAAGCATACTCAAGAGAAGAAAACAAAGTTTGTACCTTAAGGAACAAAAATGATACCTTTTAGTTGCCATTTTCTAAATAACAAAGTTGTGTATTGTATGTGGCCACTTTAATGTTTGAACTGAGAGAAGGAAAGGATATATATCTTTGGACTGTGTTTCCTTTCTTTTAAGCAGCAGTTTCTGTTTTCCATCTTAGCTTTCTAATACAGGCTTATTCAGTATTAGCAAACCCATTCTGCATTTTTGACAGAATGCTGAAGGTATGCTTCTATGTGTAACAGTCCTGAAAATTTCAAAACTTAACAACTGTAACATTACATAAAATTTTGAAGGCATGTACAAGATGCCTTTCCAGTCCCATATTATTAAATTGACATAGAAAGTCCTGAGAAACAAAATAGAATAGCAAACTTTATTGTTATAAGCCATTTTAAATTATTTTGCATATTTTCAATTTTTGGGGGGGGGGTTCCTCGTTAGTAAAATGACTATAAGGAAACCCTTAAAACTGAGTGTTAAAATAATAAGCACTCAGTGTTTTGCATTTATTCATTATTTATTAATTCAAAAATGCCACATTTACATTAGAAACCATTAGTTTTCCACTATTGTAGTTCATTTGACATTGTCATCCTAGGAGCATGTTCTGTGTTATAGTTTCTTTTAACAATAATTTAAAGCATGTTTTGGGTCCACAGTTGGGCTTTTCTCTGGTACTTTGGACTGAAAACTATCCAATACCTTGGAAAATGAAAACCAGTATTTTGATTTTGGAAAATTGGTCTCCAGCATACCTAGACTGTTTTATGCACTTTAACTCTCTTTATTCCTCCCAGATTTGTCACTATTGTATTGGATTTAGTGCATTCTGCATCTCTATGTGTGCATGCTTGATGTCCGCTCTGAAGAGTGTTGTGTCAGTGTGCGCTGTGGTTGAATATAATTTCTTTTGTTTTCACTGTTTAAATTCAAAGAGAGATCTAAATGTCTCTCTGTCTAGGTTTTTCTTTCAAAAACTTTGAAGTAAAATATACAAGACACTGAATTTATGGACAAAATTATTAGAGGAAGAGTATAACATTTAGTACCCCTGGTTGTTTTCATTGCTCACGTGACCACTACAGTGACACAGTCAATATATTAGATTGGCCAAGTCTCTCATCCGCAGCAGTCATATTGGCATTAGAGTTCAATTGTTTATAAGATGTTTGGCATTTTCACTTTTACTCAAGGAGGAGATAATTTAAAAAATTAATTTCTTTTTAAAATGAACCATTTATCTTTTTTTTGACCCCCTAAATTTATCAACACGTGACTTGAACAATTTGCCCTTTACTAATTCCTTTTTAGGTTCTTTGGCTAATTTTCTTTTTAAGATTTATTTATTTATTTATACAGAACTGGGGTACAGGCCAGAGGTGCAGGGGCAGTGAGAAAATTCATCAGAGACAGCATGGGGAGCAGAACAGGTAGATTGAGGGGAGCAGCGGGTAGGTCAGGAGAGGCCTGTGGCTCCATGTGGGTGACCTCCAGAGCGGGGATTGAACTCATGCTGAAGTGGCTTTAGCTTCTTAGTGCTGCGCTTTAACCCACAGCACCACCAGGGAGGGCCCTCTTTGACTAATTTTCTTTTATGAAATTGATTTGTTGCATATGACAATACCTGGAAATGGTTTTTTGTATGTCCTGGACAGAACTCCAGCAAGCTCTTCTTCTCTTTAACTACTTAACTTTAGCAGCGTCATTTGGCCTTAATACAGCAGGGTTCTTGTGGCCCAGAGAGGCTCTAAGCCGGAGGCACCTTGATTATTATGGGTTGTTGCCCCCTTTAAGAGCTCAAGGCAGGAGTGTAAATTTTGTGTTCTGCTCTACCAAAATAGGACCCTGGGCCTGTTGTTTACTGCTAGTTTGATCTGCAGCAAGTTACTTTATATTTTCGAGACTTACCTTCTTTCTCTAAAAATAATGGTGGTAAAACCTGCCGTTAGAGATTCTTGAGAGGATTAAGTAAGATGTATGTGTAAAACACTTAATCTATAAAACTACCCAATATATTTTACTTTTCATAAAAATATGCCTTTTACATTACTGCTGAAATGCATTTAAAAATAAGACATACAAACAGACACAGTTTCTCTCTTTTCCACATTTTGATGTCTACCCTGAAATGGCTGTTAGGTTAAGAAAACTTGTCATACTAATGTCTAATTAACTTGAATCAGATTAAACAGAATCTACCTTTCATTTTACTGTAACTCAGTTTCCTTTTGTGTCAGTCATCACTTCAAGTCTAAGGAATTATTTCTGATGTTTTCACAGGAACTTCTATCCAACAGCAGGGAAAGCAGTCAGTGTTTTATGTCCTGTAGTTAGAAGGTATTTTTGTCTTATGTTGGGCATGTAGTGGGTTCCCTTGCAGCAGGTTGGAATTTTCAGAAACACTTGTAAATTGTATCTTGCTGGGAGCTCTGATCTCTCCTTACAAGGTCCTAGTCTCTAATCTTGTCAGATTTTGGAAGCAGAGGCCATAGGGTGTAATATAACTTCCATGGAATGAATCTGATTGACCTTAAAGCTTGCTGTCTTTCTGTGTCATTATCCCTAGTGAAGGTGATGGTTCAGATTTTATAAGTGAAATGGTTTCATGAAGAGTAGAGCAGTATGTCTCATTGTATTAGATAGTGACAGAATACTCACATTTTGCATCCTATAGTGACAGAATACTCACATTTTGCATCCTAAGAGCCATTTTCTGTTTGTTGTTTTCTTTATCCCTGGTCTTCAGTGAAACTAGAGAAAGGGTAAGGGGAACTCCTCTGAATTCCTGATTCTTATCCAGGTGCCTACTGAACATTTCTAACTGGATATATGATGCGCAGCTCCAGGTTAACCTGACAAACAGAACTCTTTATTTTGTACTCAATTTCTGCTCCAAACATAATCCTGCCTAAATCTGTTGCACAGTTAATTAAACTATATTTTTCTAGCTGCTCAACTAAAAGTATAGAAATTATGCCTCTTTCCTTCAACCTTTTAAATTCAGGTCATTAGTAAATCCTCGCTATTCCATTTCCAAGAATAAGTGCCCAAATATACCTACTTTTTCTTCAGTTTTACTCTTTCCTTGCTAGCCTAAACCACTTTAACTTGTCTACACTACTGAAATAGCCTGGCTTCCTGTCTTTACAATCTAGCTTCACTACTATGTGTCTATCTAGTGGTGAGAAGAATCTTCTAAAAATGTTAAGTCAGATCATGTCAATATCCTGTGAGCCTTCTTTACCTTTAGTGTTAAGCCCTCAGTCCCTTCATGGTGACCCCTCCAAACTTTGCTCTTTTCTCCCTAATCTCTTTAGGGAATGCTCCTCCCTGAAATGCTCTTCAACCTATTTGCTTTGGTCTTTAAGACACATTTTGTTTTAGTTGAGGCTATTTGTTGTAGCTATTTTCTCTGCCTAGGAAATTCTATCTTGTTGTTTGGGTATCTTGTTTCTTTTGGTTGTAGTTTAAATTCTTAAACTTAGCCTCCTCAGAAAGGCCTTTCCTGCTTACCCAACCTAAGTGACCCTCTGACATCTCATTCTCAATTTTAATTTTGTCCTTTGATCAGAGAATGATCAGCACTTTTCATCATTTGATTTTTTCCCTTAGCTTCTTCTCTGTGTTTCATATAAGAGAAGAGGCTTCATCTGTCTTATTCACTGTTGCATCCTTAGAGCCCACAAAAGTGCCCACAGCATAATTAATTCTCAGTAAATCAATGCTTTGAAAATCCTTTTACTTATCACACCTGAGCCCTCCTGCCCCATTGAGTAACACTGCTATAATGTGTTTTATGTATGGAATTGTGACTCACATTTCAGCTCAAACCCCAGTAATGATATCTGCAATGATATCTGGAAACTGTGTCACCACCTTTGACACCTAACACATAGTGATATAATAGTACATATTCATTATAAGT